TTAATCAGCTTTCAATTAAAATCAGCTGTGCTGGAGCAAGGAAATCTCTAAAACCTGCAGGACAGCGGGATGGGGATGCCTGCCCTAAACAATTAATAAATATATCACAGTTGGAAGTGAGTAGTTGGGAAAAAATTCTTTTGACTGATGTCAGAAAATGGTAGATGATTACATGACATTTCTAACCGAGGTTATGTCAGCTAGTAGAGCTAATATTAACTTAAGGGGTATTGGGGTCCTATATTTTCATTTAGCAACAATGAAAATTTTTTTAATAAATAATTTTTTGAAACCTTTTCCTAGACTAATTATCATTTTTCAGTTTTTTTTTATTGATAAAAAGAGTAGGATCAGTTGTTCACATGCTTGCAAAAACATCAAACTTCTGATTAAATTTTTATTTCATCAAATGAAAACACCCTCAAACCTCTCTCAAAGCAGTGGAATGTAGATATTTATGTAAAAAAAATAATATGGATGAAGGCTTTATGGAGGAACTTTGTTGCAGAAAACATATTTAAAAAAAAAATGGTTCTAACCCGTTTGTGTTCCATGTTTCAGAGTATTTTCTCCCAGGCGTGAATATACGCCTGTGGAGTGTATCAGAGGACAACAGCTTCAGTGGGAATAGTTCAAACAGAAATCAGAGACAATAACGGTGATGATAATGAAGGTGGAGACTGCAGCTTGGGTGTAATCACAATGCCACTGATGCCTATTCAGCAAAATCCCATGAGACACTGGAGTTAGGGCCACAACTTCTCTAATTTGCTTTCAAAGAATAGCTGTTTGAAATATTTGATTATTTTTTTTGCCAAACATCTGTTGCTATTCTTCTTCGATGTGATTGATTCAAAGTGTTTTATTTCTCGGATAAATCAACGCACTTTCAGCCTTCTTGTTTTCCGCTCTTTCTTCTAGCATCCGAACAGCCTGCTGTGTGAGTCATGATAATGATGCTTTTTTTCCTTTGTGTATTAGTGCAGCTGTGGCGCTCTGGGCTGGGCTCCACGGGACCGTAAAAGTGAGCTCTCCTTATTGAAAACAGCCTCCCTGGTGACGTCTCCTTCCAGCTGTCACCTTGACAGGTTAAATGAAGGAAGGATTCCCTCCATAGCTAACCCAGGTTAACTTGATGAGTCATCCCTGACTCTGTTAAACGTCACTTTCCTTGGAAAAAAGAAAAAAGAACTGAGGCTTTACTCCAGTTTTTCTTTTACCAGCTTTATGGGAGCTGGTACGTTGGAAATGAAGCAAGCAGAAGGTGTTTCTTGCTCAGCCCTCTTTTCCCCACAACAGACCAGCTGTACTAAACTTCCTCCGGCCTTCGAATGCACACAGAAATCCTGTCCATAA